GTAGTCCCAGCTACTCGGGAGGCTGAGGCAGGAGGATCGCCTGAGCCCAGGAGTTTGAGGTTGCAGTGAGCTAGGCTAAGGCCATGGCACTCACTGTAGCCCAGGCAACAAAGCGAGACTCTGTCTCAAAACGAAAACAAAAACAAAAACAAAATACTGGTTTCAGGAAAAGCTTTTAAAAAAGTAATCAAGGCGTTTTTTCCATTGACGGATGGATAAATAAAATGTGATATATAGATACAATGCAATATTATTCAGCCTTAAAAAGGAAGGAAATCCTCACAGAAGCTGAATAAACCTTGGCCAAGTGAAATAAGCCAGTCACAAAAGGACAAATAATGCATGATCCCACTGACATAAGGTACTTAGAGTATTCAAAAATCCCTGAGACCGAAAGTAGAATGGTGGTTGCCAGGGACTGGAGTGAGGAGGGAATAGGGAGTGTATAGAGTACCCTTGCCCTAAGTGACTCCATCTTAGAGAAAGACTTCTTTTAAAAAGTCATCATGCCAACAAGGAGCATATGTTTATAGACTGGACCTAAACAAGTAAGGGCATAATCCTGTACTATCAGTCCCTACCAAAAGATTCAAGGACCATAAAAAGAGCAGAACTTCCCTGGCTAGGTATGGTCAATCATTTCTATAGTGACTGTCTTGCTGTCCCTCATGATAAGCAACTAGGCATCTGCCACTGAAGGCCCTGCCAAAATCCTTGCAAGACACTGGCAGCATCACTAATGACCATCCAGATCAGCCCAGCACATTCTCCTTGTCCACGTTGCTTTCCTTGGACTTGTTTGTTAACCCTTTTTTCTATTCCATTTGTCTTGATGTTAAATGTTACTTTGTTTAATGTGGAAATTTTAATCTATAACATTTATATATTGATTAAGTATAACACTATGTATGGTTTACAATATTGACTGACTTGTGGAGTGGCTTGAGCCTGTGTATTAGCGACTCTGACCACTGAGTGATTGGACAGTACTAAAGAGAACTGCCTCCTTAGGGACTCCACATAGCTAGTGGCTTTTATGTTTGAAATGTCATCAAGAGAAGTCTGACATTAGGTGGGAAGCAGTGGCTCATGCCTGTAATCCTAGCACTCTGGGAGCCTGAGGCGGGAAGATTGCTTGAGGCCAGGAAATCCAGACCAGCTTGAGCAAAAGCGAGACCCTGTCTCTACTAAAAATAAAAAAATTAGCTGGGCATGTTGGTACATATCAGGTAGTCCCAGCTACTCAGGAGGCTAAGGCAGGAGGATAGCTTGAGTCCAGGAGTTTGAGGTTGCAGTGAGCTATGATGAGGCCACTGCACTCTAGCCAGGGTAACAGACCAAGACTGTGTCTCAAAACAAAAAAAGTCTGACACTGTGGGAGTCCACTTGCTCAAGGCTTCTTGGGCGTGGCTCCAGGTAAAAAAAAAAGTCTGACATTGTGGAAAGACACAAACGTGTGTGAACTTGGTGATCTCTGACCTCGCCCTGCTCAGGAGTGAGTTATTTGTACATATGTACATGTGGTAAAGGGCTCCAGTTTTGTAAGATGAAAAGAGTTCTGGAGATGGATGGTGGTAATGGTTGCACAACAATATGGATGTATATCATGTCACTGAATGGTAAAAATGCTTAAAATAATTTAAAGAAAGTAATCAAGGCATTCTTAACCCAAGAGGTTCCTGTCTAATACGTATTTCTATAAAGAGGGAAGGTTGGCTTTAGAAATGGATATTTGAAAGCCCGTATTGAAATACTCTGGAATCACAACAGCCAAAGCAGTATGGATGATTTAAAACATAAGTGCTGGCCGGGCGTGGTGGCTCACGACTATAATCCTAGCACTC